GGGGGGGGAATGAAAGTTATAAAAAAACACCACAAAAAATCATTAGATATAGGTAATATCAAAATTGATATTTTCATTCATTTGGGTTTATTTTCAAATGAAATACACAGGAATGATGCAACTTATAGCGGCTATGTGAATAATAAAAACTTTGGAATTTATTTCGTGATGAAACATAAACAGCTTTTGGAAACCGATATCAGTTATATGAATGAAAACAAAAACTATTTATATACTGAACAAAAAAAGAAACGCACCATTAAATTATGCAATCAATAGCCTATGTTATTTTGGGAAATTTGTTCAAAGTTTTATATCAATATGAAGGGACAAGTCTTCTCTTTACAATACTGTAGAAGAAAAGTCTGTGTGACGTCACTCGTGTCATCAGTCGTTACTCAAAGTGGGATACCCGCGAAAAACAAAATGACACTTCAGTACCTGATGTGGGCACCTTTTGCCCGAATCCCTGCACGGATTCTCCTATGCATTGAATTCATGAGAACATTTATTCGCCTTAAGGGAATGTTGTTCCATTCTTGTGTTAATGCTGCGATCAACTGGGCGCGGTTAGTTGGGGGTTTTTGACGTTTGCTAATACGCCTGTCCAGCTCATCCCACAGATGCTCAATGGGAGACATGTCGGGGCGTTATGGGGGCCATTCCAGAGGCTGAACGTTGTTTACCGTGAGAAAATCACGACAGACTCTGGCAACATGCGGTCGAGCATTGTCTTGCTGGAAAATTAGGTAATGACGTCTGAGAAGTGGAAGGACATGTGGTTGGAGGATCTGGTCTCTGTATCGAACGGCATTGAGGTTTTGATCCATGACCACTAAGGGGGATTTTTCTCCATGGGAGATGCCTCCCCAAACCATTACAGAAGTGGGGGGTACTTTGTGCGTTTCTTTTTTTGTTCAGTATAGTTATGGGAGTGATGAAACCCTAAGCAGTTATGGGAGTCATGAAAACCTTAGGAGGACGGTAGTCTAGTGGTAGGACGCCTGTCCCGTCACCGACGGGTTGCGGGTTTGAGACACGGCACGGCACTGTTTTGAACCTTTGAGCAAGATACTTTACACCGCTTGTTCAAGTCTACTCAGCTGTAAACGAGTACTTGGTTGAGCAGTGCTAGAATTGTAGAATGTGAGCACCGAAATGGCAGCACCAGCTGTGATAAAGCGGTATATATGAATCTCGAATTAGTATTATTATTAATAAAGTAGTCATAGGAGTGATGAAATCTACAGCATTTACAGGAGTGATGAAAATCTATAGTAGTCATGGGAGTGATGAAAACCTACAGCTGTTAAAGGAGTGATGAAACCTACAGCATTTACAGGAGTTATGAAAACCTAAAGCAGTCATGGGAGTGATGAAATCTACATCAGTTAAAGGAGTGATGAAAACCTGTAATAGTCATGGGAGTGATGAAACCTACAGCATTTACAGGAGTGATGAACACCTATAGTAGTCATGGGAGTGATGAAACCTACAGCTGTTAAAGGAGTGATGAAAACCTATAGTAGTCATGGGAGTGGTAAAACCTATATCAGTTAAAGAAGTGATGAAATCTTAAGTGGTCATGGGAGTGATGAAACCTACATCAGTTAAAGGAGTGATGAAAACCTACATCATTTAAAGGAGTGATGAAAACCTATAGTAGCCATGGGAGTGATAAAACCTACACCAGTTATAGGAGTGATGAAAACCTAAAGTAGTCAAAGGAATGATGAAACATACAGCTGTTAAGGGAGTGATGATACCTACAGCTGTTAAAGGAGTGATGAAAACCTCTAGTAGTCATGGGAGTGATGAAACCTACAGCAGTTATGGGAGTGATGAAACCTACAGTAATTATGGAAGTAATGAAAACCTATAGTAGTCGTGGGAGTGATGGAACTTATAGTAATTATAGGAGTGATAAAAACATATAACAGTTATGGGAGTGATGAAAACCTTTAGTAGTCAAGGGAGTGATAAAACCTACAGCAGTAATGGGAGTGATGAAACCTACAGTAATTATGGGCGTGATGAAAACCTACAGTAGTCAAGGGAGTGATGAAACCTACACCAGTTATAGGAGTGATGAAAACCTATAGTAGTCAAAGGAGTGATGAAAACTACAGCTGTTATGGGAGTGATGAAAACCTATAGTGGTCATGGGAGTGATGAAACCTACACCAGTTTTAGGAGTGATGAAAACCTATAGTAGTCGTGGGAGTGATAGAACTTACAGTAATTATGGGAGTGATGAAAACATATAACAGTTATGGGAGTGATGAAAACCTCTAGTAGTCAAGGGAGTGATAAAACCTACAGCAGTTATGGGAGTGATGAAAACCTATAGAAGTCAAAGGAGTGATGAAAACTACAGCTGTTATGGGAGTGATGAAACCTACAGTAATTATGGGAGTGATCAAAACCTATAGTAGTCAAATGAGTGATGAAAACTACAGCTGTTATGGGAGTGATGAAAACCTATAGTGGTCATGGGAGTGATGAAACCTACACCAGTTTTAGGAGTGATGAAAACCTATAGTAGTCGTGGGAGTGATAGAACTTACAGTAATTATGGGAGTGATGAAAACCTATAACAGTTATGGGAGTGATGAAAACCTCTAGTAGTCAAGGGAGTGATAAAACCTACAGCAGTAATGGGAGTGATGAAACCTACAGTAATTATGGGAGTGATGAAAACCTACAGTAATTATGGGAGTGATGAAAACCTATAGTAGTCAAAGGAGTGATGAAAACTACAGCTGTTATGAGAGTGATGAAAACCTATAGTGGTCATGGGAGTGATGAAACCTACACCAGTTATAGGAGTGATGAAAACGTACAGTAATTATGGGAGTGATGAAAACCTACAATAATTATGGGAGTGATGAACACCTATAGTAGTCGTGGGAGTGATATAACTTACAGTAATTATGGGAGTGATGAAAACCTTTAGTAGTCGTGGGCGTGATAGAACTTACAGTAATTATGGGAGTGATGAAAACCTATAGTAGTCGTGGGAGTGGTAGAACTTACAGTAAATATGGGAGTGATGAAAACCTATTGTAGTCGTGGGAGTGATGAAAACTACAGCTGTTATGGGAGTGATGAAAACCTATAGTGCTCATGGGAGTGATGAAACCTACACCAGTTATGGGAGTGATGAAAACCTATAACAGTTATGGGAGTGATGAAAACCTATAGTAGTCGTGGGAGTGGTAGAACTTACAGTAAATATGGGAGTGATGAAAACCTATAGTAGTCGTGGGAGTGGTAGAACTTACAGTAATTATGGGAGTGATGAAAACCTCTAGTAGTAACAAGGGAGTGATAAAACCTACAGTAATTATGGGAGTGATCAAAACCTATAGTACCTGTGGTAATGATGAAAACCTACAGTAATTTTGGGAGGGATGAACACCTATAACAGTTATGGGAGTGATGAAAACCTCTAGTAGTCAAGGGAGTGATAAAACCTACAGCAGTTATGGGAGTGATGAAAACCTATAGTAGTCAAAGGAGTGATGGAAACTACAGCTGTTATGGGAGTGATGAAACCTACAGTAATTATGGGAGTGATGAAAACCTATAGTAGTCAAATGAGTGATGAAAACTACAGCTGTTATGGGAGTGATGAAAACCTATAGTAGTCGTGGGAGTGATAGAACTTACAGTAATTATGGGAGTGATGAAAACCTATAGTAGTCGTGGGAGTGATGAAACCTACAGTAATTATGGGAGTGATGAAAACCTATAGTAGTCAACGGAGTGATGCAGCAGTTATAGGAGTGATGAAACCTATAGCAGTTATGGGAGTGATGTAAACAAATTGTAGTTATAAGAATGATGAAACCTATTGTAGTTATGTGAATAATGATAACTATGGTAGTTATGGGTATATGAATTAAGTAACTAGTGGAATGATGCAATATTTAGTACAATGTAGCTATAGAATGAAGAACATCAACAACTATTGGAATGATGAACCTAAAGTAGCAATGAGAAAATTTACTGATTCAAACCACTGTGCATTACTACTTATGGTATGCTAATTCTTGCAATGTGCAGTGTTGGAACGTTTGCCGTTAACACAATGTACATGTATCCATGCATTTGTTTATGCGTTATTAAGTGAAACCGCTTTATGTACAATAAGAAATGAGAAGATTGTGTTCACTTTTACCTGTATATTTAGTTTCGACTGCCGGCACGTTATCAATGGAGTAGCCGTTCGTCTGTATAGTTCCATTCTTGACCGGGCTATTATCTTCCACATTTTGAGGACTGTTCCCTTCCCCAATCACAGTGACAGGGATAATCCCATTTTTGTTAAATTCCGTCTCAATTGGTGTCTTGGTTGTTTTCTTTTGCTGTTGACGGACGACGAACACGTCGAATAATGTTGCTAGCGTCATCAGGGCAAGAAAGGCACCACAGACACATCTGAAATTAACAGTTGTCAGTCTTGTGTATGTTATGAATTATCAAATTGCTTTTACATCTCCCTAATATCTTCTTCTTCATCAACTCACCAAACCTGTTGGTTTATTTTAATCTGATGTGACATTTACCGTTAGTTGTAACTATGTGCTAATGTTGTCCTTTAGTTCAAACTATATGTCCTTAGTTCAATCACTGAGCTTTTCATGTTTGTACTAAAGTTCATACACTGTGCTAATCATTGTTACGTTTATAGAGTCATATTGCGATTATATGTCCCATTTGTTATCTTAAAGTTCATGTATATTCCCTTTTTATTGTCATGTGTATTCAAGCGTTTATACACTGTAAATCACATCTTTCATGGTTTATCCAGATGCTGTAATACTTTCACAAGCTTTTTTTTTATATACCAGCGCTTTAACATTGTCATTTGTATCCTGCAGGTTACACACCGTATTGTATTCACAGTTACAATTATCTTGAAGTCCAAACACTGTAAGACCTGATATTAAAACGCATACATGTATACTGTGTCTTTCATAGTCGCATTATATACAGATCATAAACTGTTTGTTTGTCATAGTCATGTATTTCTCTTAGTTCACACACTGTAAGATTTCAATAATAGTAATATCGATCCTGATTTATACAATGTCCGTCTTGCAATGCCACACGTATCCTACATATCATACCATGAGTTTTACATAACTTAAGGTCCTCTCTCATTTCTCACTCCGTTAAAGCTAGATAATCAAATAGATCTTACATGGTAATCGTTGTCCTGAGATCATATTCTGGCTCTTCCTGACACCATCCGAAGTTCGCAGTAAGTGGCGGAGTGGTTGGGATTAATGCTAAAACTGTAATGAAGATGTGGACAATCTGATAATAGATTGTGATAGCACCAAAGCAATTATGTTTTACGCCATACCCCTGACATATCAATTAAGCAATTTTCTGAATGTCACAGCCAACAATATTTATGACTACAACTTATCACGCACGTTTAGTTTTATCACTCGTGATTTTAGTTAGTTATTACTCAAATGTTGACTTCCGTCCATGGTCTCCAAAGCTAAAACAAATGACTTAACATCCATGTCTAATGGATTCGAACAAAAAATGAAAATATCGAGCATCACATGTTTGTGTAGCAAAAGATGTGTATACCACGGAGCAAAACTATGAGTCGTGAAGCTGGAGAGTGGTCGGTGGCGCAGTTGATAGCGCACTCGCCTTTCACAAAGGCGGTCGGGGTGTGATTCCCAGATCAGACGTGAAAAGGTTTTAGGGCGACCACATGGGTTTTCTCTGGGTACTCCAGTTTCTTCCTACATAAAGATCCTTCGCACTTTCATCGGGAACAACGAGAGTGATTTATATAAGTTGCTACAACTTGCATCATAATGCATAATTTATAAAAAGAATACAGTTTATATATTTATAAGGTTGATCTATTATATTTCTCAATAAAGATTAAAAACAAATTTTACATTCAAATATATACTTTGGTAAAAATGAAAAGAAAAATATAACTCAGATAGTAGATTGGGTGTGTGTATATACTATACTGCAAGCTATCACTTGAAGAGGTCGTGTACAGTGTGTCATAGCATTATATATTTCTACATATTTGTGTCTCTAAGCTGGGCATATTTGTCAATCTGCGATGCAGGTCAAAATCAAGGCTGTTCCTGCGTTAGCACCACTGATTTCGCAACCCTATTCAGACATAGAGTTCTCTTATATTGTAGAAAATCGATTGCGAAATATCAAGTAGTGTGATGCTCACTTGAATCAGCTATGAAATAAGGGTCTCCACCTGTACAGACTGACGGGAGACACATCCTTATGACGATATTCACGTTTCCTGATGGACCCTGAAAAACAAACGTGAAATAGAGAGTAGCTGAAAATGTTAGCACTCATTATTTGAAAGAAGTATTGGATATTAAAATTAGAGAGTGATTTGTATCGAGGTGATATTTGACGGCATTGTTTAAGAGTGATTTACTTCGTAGGTAATAATTGACTTGATGTATTACGGCGAATTATATATATATACATGTATACATATTGAAGTTGATCAATTTAATTGTGTTTGAGTATGGTTGGTTTTGGTGATGTTTGAAGGGATTGTTTCAGAGTGATTGGTATTGTGGTGATTTCTGACTGCGATATTGGAACGTGATCGATATTTTGGAGTAATTTCGGACATTGGTATTTAAATTTAGATTGTGTAAACCTGTATTGTAAGATGGTGATATTGGAACGTGATCGGCATTTGTGGGTCATGTAGGACGGTGGTATTTAAATTTATAGTTTGTAAGATTGTATTGTAAGATGGTCGTATTGGAACGTGATCGGCATTTGGGGTTCATGTTAAGATTAGGGTGAGGGTACCCAAAATGGAACATTTTCTTTACAGAAAAATATTAATATTTCCTGTAACGTTTCTGAAAGACCAAATCTTTTACTGTTTTGAAATAGTACGCGCCTTTTGCCTTCATCTTATGCATGTCTTGGGTACATATATCAATTGCGCGTGTCTATTTAAAGAGCGAATAAAGTGTGTCAGATTCACTTGAAATTTTTAGCTGGTCCAGTACCCCAAATGGAACCCCCAAATGGAACACTATGAAAATAACTGACAGCAATAAAACGATTTTCTTCATTTCAACAAAGTGACAATTTCTGACAATTTTTACTCATTTATTCCCTTAAATGTTTTTCCCTGTTAAGAAATCAGATAGGATATTTATGTTGTTGTACTGTTCTGTTTCAGGGCGTTTTTCATTTCATTTTTTTAATATTTCAATTGAGTTTATGAGTAATGTTCAAGCGGTAGGCAGATGATATTGGCTCAAAATGCTTATTATATAAATCTTGATTGACAATACATACCATTCATGTTTATTGCAAAATAAAAAAAAATGCTGTATCATATATATCAAACGTGTACCATTTGGGTACCCTCGACCTAGATTGCGAAAGACTGTATTGTTAGATGGTGATATTGGAACGTGATCGGTATTTGGAGTCATGTTGAACTGTGGCATTGAAAGTCAGATTGAAAAGGCGTGAAGTTTGAGAAGGTGATATTGTATAACGTTGAGTATTTGGGGTCGTTGAGGTTAGTGTTAACAACGCCAAATGGACCAATGATTCGCAAATACTAATCATGTAAATAATCCTACCGATATCGATGTCGGGATATTGACACCACAAGAGTTTGGCTCAAATACAACTTTTCCGTCGATTTCTGCCACTGTATTCATGCATTCGTCATACATTCCGCGCCATTTTACGTTTCCTTCAAGTAACCCCGCTCGTGGTTTACCCCAGGAGTCAACCACTGGAACAAAATATACTCACATTAACTCGCTACGGTATTAAGTGGTCAAAACTTACCTCATGTTAGAAAAGTACGTATGATGGTGCACCAGGTAAACAGTTTTGAATACAAGTATAAAACGAATTTATACATTTAATTTAAAAAAATTAAAAATACACATGAATGTGAAATATTTATGTTGGATGTATAACTGTAAAGGTCGAAATTTTCGCGGTGTGGAAATGTAACGCTTTTTCCGTTGAGTAAACTAGTGCGAAATTATATCCAAACGCAAATAGGTTATTTAGATTATATAGATTATATATATTAATGATAAATATATTACACAGATTAAGAATAATTAGGTTATATAGATTAAGAATGATTAGATTATATAGATTAAGGATACAAATATTTTATAGATTAAGGATAGATAGTTTATATAGATTAAATAAATTAAGGAGAAATAAAATATATAGATTGAGGATAAATAGATTATATAAATTAAGGATAAATAGATTTAATAGATTAAGGATAAATAGATTATATAGATTTAAGAACTGTTGTCAATACGAAAATTCCAACATCTCAATTAGTTTAAAGAGTCACAAAGCGAACATTTCAATTTTTACACTTTGCAACACATAATGATAGAACGCATTTCGAATATTATTCACAGCTTTCTCTGTTAGGCCCTAAGTCTCTCCGAATTTTTCAAGATCACTGACAAAATATGATTTTGCAACGGAATAGGAAATTCGGCTTGAGCACAAAATCTGTTTTTGAGCATATAATCGGTATAATAAATACGGACATTGGTATTTTTCATTTTTTCACAAAATATCTTACGAAATCAGTTACAATCATATTAAACTTTGGTCTTTTTCGGGGAAAACGATCGTAATAAATGACCGGGGGCTTTCATTCAGTTTGGTATGAGACATGTTAGTGTTAACAAGGAGAACTGACAATCATTCTCCGAGAAAAAACTTATTGTGAAGGAGACTATAACATAAAGTTATATAGAGTATATATTGGGTTATCTGTACAAATTAGAGAGGGTGCCATATGGTACGACAGACCGATAACAGTATTTCGAAATACCCACGTAGAGTGACACACGTTTGTTTATATACGAACTACTGTAATCCCAACAGTTAAGGTCATAGTGGAGATTATCAAAACATTGTATACTACTACATATAGAGGCATTGTATCTTATTTATACTCTTGATATTACAAGCGTCTACCTTTAAAAATATACTAGTAGATTATGAGTTGGTTTATATAACAAAAAAAGTTCAAATACGTTGATAGCTTTTAGATCAGTTTAGTACTTTAGATTGATTGAATAAGTCTACATAAATTGAGTAGAATTAACTTGATCACATGTCACAGATAACATTGTTAATGAGTTGTATAATCGATTATTAAACAATATAAGTATCGAATACATCATGAATGAAACAAGATATATTTACTCTGTCTGAAAAAGAAGAAGCTGTAATAGGTAAAATTCATTAATATTATAATAAATATTTCAATTAATTAAAATCTGCCAATGACTTACTTTTTAGTGCCCATTGTTTCTGGGCGAGGAACTGCGAACCTAACATTCCCATAGCAGAGCTGCAAGCAGGGCTTAACATCTTGTAAGACTTCTGGCCTGACGTGAACTTGGATGCCACTGACTGGCCTGTTGATTGCAATAATTTAAGAGTTGCGTTAAACTGCGGTCCCGATGGTATTGGCACATTAAGGCTGTGTAGTATCTTCTGCACATTCTGCACGTTCATCGCAGGAAAGAGCGATGCAAGATTCGACAATTGTGACAGACTTTGTGTAGAAGACACATTGCTCAAAAGTACCTCTATTCCCTTTTCTAACAAAGAGAAATAATCCTGATTCTGTATTGTGGGTTTTGCGGCTGTGGCATCGCTGTAAACGTCGCCAAAACAAAATACAAGTACCAGGACGGTGCCTACCGCCAGTAGTGTCCTCATGGCCGAGTCCCTTATGTTGTGAAGGAACGAGCTCCCTCTCGTGTATAAAACAAGCAGGGTCCGTGGTTATCTAATCTACCTGAATACACTACACCTTAAATGGCATGTTGTCGTGACAGGGTTTTCAGAGCAATGTTATCTATATCACACATACCGTAGTCACATCATTTTTACAAAATGAATAAAACGTAGGCACAGCATCAGAGATCAAACGTAGACACAATAAAGTAGGGATATAAAACGTAGACACAGTGAAGCAAGGATAAAAGATAGACACAGTGAAGCAGAGATAAACCGTAGACATAGTGAAGAAGGGATAAACCGTAGACACAGTTAAGCAGAGATAAAACGTAGACACAGTGAAACAGGGATAAAACGTAGACAGAATGAAGCAGAGATGAAACGTAGACACAGTGAAGCAGAGATAAAACGTAGACACAGTAAAGCAGACATAAACCGTAGACACAGTGAAGCTGGATAAAACGCAGACACAGTGAAGCAGGAATAAAGCGTAAATACAGTAAAGCAGAGATAACACGTAGACATAGTGAAGCAGTGATAAAACGTAGACACAGTGAATCAGAGATGAAACGTAGACACAGTGAAGAAGCGATAAAGCGTAGACACAGTAAAGCAGAGATAAAACGTAGACACAGTGAAGCTGGATAAAACGTAGTCACAGTGAAGCAGGACTAAAGCGTAAATACACTAAAGCAGAGATAACACGGAGACATAGTGAAGCATTGATAAAACGTAGACAAAGTGAAGCAGAGATAAGCCGTAGACACAGTGAAACACTGATAAACCGTAGACAAAGTGAAGCAGGAATAACGCGTAAATACAGTAAAGCAGATATAACACGTAGACATAGTGAATCAGAGATGAGACGTAGACACAGTGAAACACTGATAAACCGTAGACACAATAAAGCGTAAATACAGTCAAGCAGAGATAACACGGAGACATAGTGAAGCATTGATAAAACGTAGACAAAGTGAAGCAGGAATAAAGCGTAAAAACAGTAAAGCAGAGATGAAACGTAAACACAGTAAAGCAGAGATAAACCGTATACGTAGACACAGTGAGGCAGAGATAAAACGTAGAAACAGTGAAGCAGGATAAACCGTAGACCCAGGGAAGCAGTGATAAAACGAAGAAACAGCGAAGCAGGGATAAAGTGTAGACACAGTGAATCAGAGATGAGACGTAGACACAGTGAGGCAGAGATAAAACGTAATACAGTAAAGCAGATATAACACGTAGACATAGTGAATCAGAGATGAGACGTAGACACAGTGAAACAGTGATAAACCGTAGACCCAGGGAAGCAGTGATAAAACGTAGACACAGTGAATCAGAGATAAAACGTAGACACAGTGAAGCAGGGATAAAGCATAGACACAGTAAAGCAGAGATAAACCGAAGACACAGTGAAGCAGGATAAACCGTAGACACAGTGAAGCAGTGATAAAACGTAGACACAGCGAAGCAGGGATAAAACGTAGACACAGTGAAACAAAAATAAAACGTAGACACAGTGAAGCTGGATAAAACGTAGACACAGTGAAGCAGGAATAAAGCGTAGACACAGTGAAGCAGTAATAAAGCGTAAATACAGTAAAGCAGAGATAACACGTAGACATAGTGAAGCAGAGATAAAACGTAGGCACAGTGAATCAGAGATAAAACGTAGACACAGTGAAGCAGGGATAAAACGAAACCACAGTGAAGCAGAGATAAACCGTAGACACAGTGAAGCAGAGATAAACCGTAGACACAGTAAAGCAGGAATAAAGCGTAAAAACAGTAAAGCAGGGATAACACGTAGACACAGTGAAGCAGAGATAAAGCGTAGACACAGTGAAGCAGAGATAAAACGTAGACACAGTGAAGCAGGGATAAAGCGTAACCACAGTGAAGCAGAGATAAACCGTAGACACAGTGAAGCAGAGATAAACCGTAGACACAGTGAAGCAGGAATAAAGCGTAAAAACAGTAAAGCAGGGATAACACGTAGACACAGTGAAGCAGAGATAAAACGTAGACACAGTGAAGCAGGGATAAAGCGTAGACACAGTGAAGCAGAGATAAAACGTAGACACAGTGAAGCTGGATAAAACGTAGACACAGTGAAGCTGGATAAAACGTAGACACAGTGAAGCAGGAATAAAGCGTAAATACAGTAAAGCAGAGATAACACGTAGACATAGTGAAGCAGAGATAAAACGTAGACAAAGCGAAGCAGGGATAAAGCATAGAAACAGTAAAGCAGAGATAAACCCAAGACACAGTGAAGCTGGATAAAACGTAGACACAGTGAAGCAGGAATAAAGCGTAAATACAGTAAAGCAGAGATAACACGTAGACATAGTGAAGCAGAGATTAAACGTAAACACATCGAAGCAGAGATTAAATATAGACACAGTGAAGCAGGATAAACAGTAGACACAGTGAAGCAGTGATAAAACGTAGACACAGCGAAGCAGAGATAAAACGTAGACACAGTGAAACAAAAATAAAACGTAGACATAGTAAAGCAGGATAAAACGTAGACACAGTGAAGCAGAGATAAACCGTATACACAGTGAAGCAGTGATAAAACGTAGACAGAATGAAGCAGAGATAAAACGTAGACACAGTGTAGCAGAGATAAAACGTAGACACAGTGAAGCAGTGATAAAACGTAGACACAGCGAAGCAGCGATAAAACGTAGACACAGTGTATCAGATATCAAACGTAGACACAGTGAAGCAGGGACAAAGCGTAGACACTGTGAAGCAGAGATAATACGTAGACACAGTGAAGCAGCGATAAAACGTAGACACAGTGAAGCAGCGATAAAACGTAGACACAGTGAAACAGTGATAAACCGTAGACACAGTGAAGCAGTGATAAACCGTAGACACAGTGAGGCAGAGATCAAATGTAGACACAGTGAAGCAGTGATAAAGTGTAGACACAGTGAATCAGCGATAAAACGTAGACACAGTGAAGCAGAGATAAAGCGTAGACAGAGTGAAGCAGCGATAAAACGTAGACACAGTGAAGCAGAGATAAACCGTAGACACAGTGAAGCAGGGATAAAGTGTAGACACAGTGAATCAGCGATAACACGTAGACACAGTGAAGCAGGGATAAAGTGTAGACACAGTGAAGCAGTGATAAACCGTAGACACAGTGAAGCAGGGATAAAACGTAGACACAGTGAAGCAGAGATCAAATGTAGACACAGTGAAGCAGAGATTAAACGTAAACACATCGAAGCAGAGATTAAATATAGACACATGACAGTGAAGCAGGATAAACCGTAGACACAGTGAAGCAGTGATAAAACGTAGACACAGCGAAGCAGAGATAAAACGTAGACACAGTGAAGCAAAAATAAAACGTAGACCTAGTGAAGCAAGAAAAAACGTAGGCACAGTGAAGCAGAGATAAACCGTAGACACAGTGAAGCAGTGATAAAACGTAGACACAGTGAAACAGCGATAAAACGTAGACACAGTGAATCAGAGATAAAACGTAGACACAGTGACGCAGTGATAAAATGTTGACACAACGAAGCAGAGATAACACGAAGACACAGCGAAGCAAGTAAAAAGTAGACAGAATGAAACATTTAGTTTCAATTTACATGTGAAAGCTTAAGCTAGACTTCTTGAAGAGAACTCTGTGGAAATACACTTCGGTTTCGGAGAAGAGTAGACATGCTGAATCCAAATAAATCTTATCGGAAGAGGCGACGAATAACCCCTCACCCCTCTCCCCACACACACTGCTGATGGATCGGAGGTTTTATTATGTCTTATGTTTAGGAGACATTAAAACAATCCAACCTAATATGCATTTACGCTTTGCAAGGACTTTGGGTTGTTACTTTTGCATTCTTAACACTTCCTTTACGGTGTTGTTTTACTGAACAAACCTCTTTATATGACCTTAGCTCTTGCGAGGACGTGAAAAAAACAAACAAACCAACACACAACCTGAGATTGTTTTGTCAGATCTATTGTTTTATACAACGTAAGATATTCAGAGGACTTGACCTGCTGTCCTCGTAAAAAATAGGCATTGTAATAGTCATGACACGTCTATCTTGTTTTCAATGTCATAACAGCTTCTGCATACCTTATATATATGTACAGCTAACGTAAGGAAAACCAACCTTGTCGTCATCGTGTGATCAGCCAATTATTGAATGATTTAATGTGCCGATTTCAAACAACTACATTTTGATGTATGTGTCATATTCTATAATGTTAAATCAATGAAAAGTTTATTTGACAGATTTTATGTGCAATCAATAAATGACTATATACAAAATTAAAATGATTTATTGTACAACCAATTCGTTGTTTGTTGACGTATTCTTTCATTTTGATACACGCTTTTTTCTATTTCTAGTTTGATGTATTCATATTTATTAAAGTCTATTGTAACGGTCTTGTTTTGTTTGGCCCTAACTGGCTTTTACTGTCGATGGAACGTAAATCAACACGAACACGAATCGAACCTCGGCAACCTTGATGAAAGACAAGCTCGTTATCCACTGCACCAACCGACCACCCATGAATTATTGAACGAGTGTAATCAATTCAATATGATATTGACACAAATGTAAGATTCTACTCATTTCATAACATTCATAATTTGAAAAAAAAATCTTATAATGTATTCTCACAGTTTTGACCGATTGCAGAACCCCAAAGTTTTGTTACACATGTGTGATACCATTTTGATAACATGGCCGTATGACATTGTTAAATGGGTCAGTTATGTCACCATTGTTCCCTTTGCTGATGTGTTGCAACTAATTAGAGCCTACCCTTGCAGAATCGATGGTTTTCTTCCGTGTTTTCTACTAAGGCGACATACCAGAGACAACAATGATCTGCTGCCTTCCATTGCAACATTAGTGATCGTTTACTTTCTTTCCTGTCTTTTTTCTTTTCGATCTACTTCCTGTTTCAGTATTGTGTTGTAAATCCAAGCGATCAGAGGTTGTGTAAAATGTAGCAAAACAATGTGAATTGTGAATTGTGATTCCTGACGTCACTGATGT